TTGGCAACCTGCCACTCTGTGACAATGGGCAAAATCACTAGCGGTGACCTTGAACAAATGTTGATCATAAGTCTCGGAAATTCCGGGTGGAGCGAGAGTCCAGCCCCAAACAATCTTGCTCTCTGGGTCGAGCTGAATCATCTCTGTTTCGTTGAAAGCCTTTGCTATGAAACCGTCGACTGGCTTCCCTCCACCTTCGGCTTGTTTCCGCGCATATTTTTGTCTTTCAGCCCAAGACGATTTACATAACTTTATATACTCACTTTTGAATTGCTCTGGCGTTTTAATTACAAGTTCGCAATGCCAACCCAATTGCTCGAACGCCGCCACAAGGCAGGGTAGTAAGTGCAGCATCTCCTCAGGTGGTGCACCTACTATCCATGCTACATAGTCCTGCTTGAACCTCCCTAACCACGAGTCACATAAAGTCCGATGGACTTTCGGTTGCAGGTGCTCCCTTAGAACTGTTGACGAGAAAGTTTTTGTGTTTATCTGATGGCCGAGGTGTGCTACAACCTATGGAAGAAATGGTCATAAACTTTTTTGAAAAAAAGGGGGGGGCTATTCACTGGGAACAGGTCGATATTCTTGTACGCAATGGAGCCTTTCTGTTTCGTCCTCTTGAGATCGGTACGTGTGCATTGCTGGTCAGTGCATTGTGAGCACTTCCAATCCCGTGCTTTTGAGTCATACTTGAAAATGATGGAACAACATTGTGATTCACAACCATACTTTGTGATTCGCTTGGTCTCTTCATCATGCGCCGCCTGCTCTCCTGCTGGGTCATTGTGCGGTGTCTCGTTTAGTCGGCGTTTTTCCTCTTTTGCTTGAAACTGTACATCAGTCAAATAGGCCCCTTGGCAGTAGCACCAGAAGTACATTACGTTGTCGCTTTTTTTACTGTGGCAGAGTAGGCGCCGCTTCTCGAAGTGTCCATGCACCTTCAGATCCACCTCCATGCGGGCCATCGCGGTAGTACCTAAAACTACATCTTGTAGGTCTTTCAGATCCGCTGCTTTGATCCCAAGGGAGCTGAACTTTGCATCATCCTCAGCATTTATTGTTTTTTGCTGATGCTGATGTTTTTTGTTGCTCCTTTTCGCTGCAGCTTTTCGTTTACATTGCGCTTGCCTTGCATTCATAGCATCATCATCCTCATCATCCTCTTCCGCAGCATGATCACCATCTTCCGCGGGAGCAGCACCATCTTCCGCGGGAGCAGCACCATCATCCCCCTCGGAAGCCTCGGCATCATCATCCCCCTTGGAAGCCTCGGCATGCGCAGCCTCGGCATGCGCAGCCCGACACTCAGCCAACGCCGA